CTAATTATTTTGGTTAGGTTCTCAGCCACATCTTTGATTTTTGCTCCAGGGAGACAACATACCTTCCTGGATTGTATGTCTGGTCTGCAGACAGAAGATAGCGTTCCTTTGAGGATAGAATCTCCTATTACCAACACTTGCCTTCCTTTTTGGGGGGCTGCAGTCTGGGGTGCTTTTCTGTTTATCTCTGGTGTGTTTGTTGATGTGACTTTTTTAGGGATATTTGAAGTGACTTTTTTAGAAATATTTGAAGTTGTTTCTTTGCTAGGCATCTGCATGTTTTCTTTGAGGGGGAGGTTATGGGTCTGAATGTTTCCATCTAAGGTGAGAAATTGATTGCTCAGTTTTAGTGGGGCTGGTTTTGGTTGAGTTGGATTGGGAAGAAGGGGTTTGTTAGTTGTATGCTGCTTCTTTCTTTGAGTATTGTGTTTCCTTCTATGTGTGATATACCTCTACTTGTCTTCCTCCAAGGGTTTATCAGTAGGGTCAAATCCTCTAGGAGTTATTTGTTCATTAATTGGTTCGATTTGGGTATCACTTTCTTTCGTAGATTGGGGCTTGGATAGAGTTGCCTCTAAGTTCCTTACTTTTTCCTCCAGTAGTTTACATAGTTTACATCTAATGCATGTAAAGTTTGGGTGTTCTTTGGGCATAAGCACATACATGGAACATGTATTGCATACCACAATACTATCAGTCACCTGTTCCATGAGTTTGTTGTTTGAAAATCCCTCTTTTTGTTTTTTGCCATCTGCAGGCCCTGGTCTACTACTATCCATAGCACTTGGTCTGTTGCTGTCTGTAGGCCCTGGTCTGCCACCATCTGCAGCACCTGGTCTGCTGCTGTCTGTAGGCCCTGGTCTACCGTCTGCAGCTCCTGGTCTACTGCCGCCTGCAGCACCTGGTCTGCTACTGTCTGTAGACCCTGGTCTACTGCCATCCATAGCACTTGGTCTGCTGCTGTCTGTAGGCCCTGGTCTACTGTGCTGCAGCGTTCCACCACCGCCACCAACAGCTCCACAGCCATGTGGGTCCCATTTGCTGGTCGGTCGTGCCAGTGTTCTGCTTTCTTCAGCAAACAGGGCTGCCTGGATGGTTTACAGTAAGCTCTCCTCTTCTCTCCCTGACTGGCTCTCCTTCCTTTTCCACTATCTCACTGGCTCTCCTGTTTCTCCTCTCTGCTGATTGTTGTGCTGCCCTTAGCTTTTTCTCTTCTTCAGTCTTTTTTAATTTTCTTTTATTTTTCTCATTTTATCTTTCCCTCTTTCCCTTTTCTCCTACTGTTTTGTCTTAGTCTAAGATAATTTAGTTTAATAGCAACTTCTCTTCCCATGATGTAACCAAGCTTCCTCTGTGGTCGCCATCTTAGAATGAAAAAGGTAAAGGTTTGTTGATAGAGATTGGCAGTTTGATTGCACACACTTTCTGTAAACATAACAGCTGAGAATCAGGCCTAGTTCATAAGAAAGTGGGATGATAACAAAAGCTCACTCTTAAATATTGCACAATCTTCAGTCTTGCCTTTTTCAATATTCTTTTGTCAGCAATTTTGGAAAGCTGATACAAGAAAATTCCCCTTTGTAAAACATTGCTCCTGTGAAACAAGAGTGGTGGGCTCCGTGTCATGCGTTCTTTTATACTTCTGTTTTAGAGAGACATATATAAGAACAAGATTATCTCCAAACTTTCTGAAAATTCTGATCAATTTATGACAGATATTACTTGAGGATTGTGATCCCTATATTAAGTTGACAAATGGCAAACTTTTGTTGGCTGTTGACCAGATAAGGCAATACTGTACAGAACTGCAATAGATGCTCTCTCTAGATTATTTTAATATTGCAATACTAGAATGTTTAGTATTTTAATGATTGTTTTCAGAACTTAATTACTAAATGTTTGCTTTTTCATTTTTTTCCTCAGTATTTCCAAGATTGAGATGAGCAGTATCTAAATTTGTTCAAACAAACAAAATCTTAATAGCAATAGCACTTAGACTTATATACCGCTTCACAGTGCTTTACAGCCTTCTCTAAGCAGTCAGCATATTGCCCCCAACAATCTGGGTCCTCATTTTACCAACCTCAGAAGGATGGAAGGCTGAGTCAACCCTGAGCTGGTGAGAATCGAATTCCAAATTGCTGGCAGCCGGTAATCAGCGGAATTAGCCATATGGTAACATGTGCATACGTACTATATTCTCATGCTACTGGCTCAATGGTTTTATAATTTAATTAACACAATTTATGTGTTAACAAATGAATAGTTTAGTGTATTAAAATTTAACATAATTTTGTAATAGTTCATTAGTGAGACTAGTTTTATAGACTTATTTTTTTTCTTGTTAATAATGTAATGTCTTCATTCCTTTACTTTTTATCACTCATTTATTAATAAGTTTTTTTCTCTCCTGTTACTGAGTTTTAAGATTTTTTAATTTATATCATTCGATTGATCCCCTGCCTTCCTATACTGACAAATATCCAAAGCAAATACCAAAATTTAAAAAGCCAAAAAAGAATATAAACATTTTTTTAAAAAACACAGATCAAAATTAACAATAAAATAGATGTTAAAATCAATCAGTAATTAAAAGCTTGGCAAAAGAGAGGAAACCTGACAGAGTAGAAGTCAAGAGCAACTCCCAAGCATTTCACATCCTGGGAGAAGTGCTATAAAAGACCTACCTGCCAGAAAGATGAGTTTCTGACAGCAGAGGGATCTTTAAAAGGACCTTTTCTGATGATTTTAGCATCTGAAACTATTTGTAGAAGGATTGTTTGCTTCAACAGTCAGACCCTAAGTCAATACCAACATATTCATTAGGCCCTGTAAACAACTGGAAACCAAATCCAGAACACAAATAAAAGCAAATATACGTATCCCAGGATAATGTTGCAAGATCCAATCTGGGTCAGTCACTGGGACCAGAGATTTTAATCTTCTGAACTTTTGGTCTCGTGTTGGAGCCTATCTCAGGGAACTTCTCTCTAACCCAAAGCACAAATTCTGGTAGAGAGAAGTTCTCTGAGGATGGGCTCCAGCACGAGTCTGAAAGCTCGGAAGACCAACCCAGATTGGATCCTGCAAATCCAAATCTTTCAGCCTATGTATCATATGCCCCCTTCCATCCTTACTAGTTAGCAGCCTAGATAATTTGTGTCAACTAAAATGTTACAGAAAACATTCAAGTGCAGCTGATGTAGAAAGTGTTGTACTAATCAGGGCAGAAAGTAACCACAATGTGGATAGGTGTTGCCTCATCTGAACAGCACGGAAAAAGTGGCATCTGGCATGTGCCAAGGCACTCCTTAACAGTCATGATTGTTATCAGTTCTAAAACACAATGAAATCTAGTGTCTTACATGAACATGCTTTGTTTGTTCCTTTTGATGTTATCAGCTTTTTCCAGTGAGATTAACCAACACATTGGATGTATGTCAAGGCCTCCAATGAATCCAAGGTCTTAGCAGTATTGTAGTACGATAGAATAAAAACAAAAAAAAAATGTACTTCCACCTTTCTCCCAGGAACACTTTTGATTGATTAAATATTCCATTTAAAACTGACCTAGAATAGCTAAAATTTTAACAATAACTCCGGGCACGTTCCCTAGCTTGACCTTGGCACATCTATTGTTTACTTTTTCTGATACTAGTGTTCTGTTATAGGAGGAGACAGGCTGGTGAAGCTTCGGTACTGTACTTAGATGATATTTCTAGGACCAAATAATACACTCTCAAAGGATGCACTTCTTTCAATTCTTATAACCCTTCTGGGGCACTGCCCTATGGACCACAGGATTGCAATTTAAGTAAATAAAACTACAACGATTTTTACAAGCATTGATTTGATCTGAGAGATTCCTTGAAATTCTAGATATAATTTTGCACACATCTGTTCCAGGAATGATAGTTTCTTGGGAGTGATGTTGGCAAAACAGACGTGGAGAAAATAAAATATAGGGCATCTGTGACAATACTGAATTTATCTGAACAGAAATAGCATAATTCCTTCTGTTGGGAATGAACACACACACACAAATCTCCTTGCCACCAACCCAAATGATAATAATCTTTATGCTAATGTTATCCATGCACTTTGTCAGCTCTTCTTCTTGTAGCATAGTACCTTAAATGTGTGTAATACCAGGGTTATTGTAGCTGTGTCTCCTTTATTTAGGGATTTACAAATTAATACTTGTTCTTTTTTAAATGAAATTATGTAACTAACACAAAGTATGCATATAAACGGACTATACTTAGAGGGACGGAACTTTGTGCTTACTAAGTGATTGTTTATTTTTTCACAATCCTTACCAGTGTTTTTTTAAGGATTATATCTGCACACACACACACACACACACACACACACACAGACACAGACACACACTGATCTTTTTCCTTCATTTCCCTGTGTTCTTCTATCAGCTTTTTCCTCCTCAGTGACTATTTTCTTCTTTTATTTCAGTTTCTTCCTCCACATTCTCTTAGCTTTCAGCATCTGCCTTCCTGACAGGAAGTGACCATTTAACTTTTTACTTGCCTTAAAAGAGCACAAGTAAGATGCCATTTCATAGATGTTTTTCTTGAGCAAAAGTTATTTGACAGTAGCCAAAGATAGGAGAAATTTTCTCAGAGCCAGCAATAATGAAAAAGTATATATTTCTTCGTTCAGAGCACATGCAATAAGTAAAGCGTTATTTTTACAAAAAGCAATACCTTTGACTATTTATACTGTAAAAACTAGATTACTGCAACTGATCTTAAAATACGTCCAACAAACAAAGATATTCATAAATTTGAAACTTATGACATTTTTTTCAATATTAACATTTAGCTACTGAATTATAATTGTTAAAAAGAATTTAACAGCCAAGTTATCTCATATCTCAAGATGTGTTTAAATTTTCATCCACTTTTCAGTCACTAAATGTCTGATATTCTCTATTATAAATAAGATGCCTATTTACTAACTATCTCATAGCATAAAATGTTCACCTTCAGTTTACACTGTAGTTGCTTCATTTCCAAATCTACAGTCTTGACAGGAGTAGCTGGTGCCATTCCAGTATGGCCAGATGCTAGAAGAGACAGCCCTTCTCTCCCTTTGGTCGTCTGGATCAGGTGGTCCAATTTTCCTTGCAAATCTGATTTTTCTCGTTGCAATTCAGTCAAGCTGGATGTCAGGGTCTGCTTTCCAGATACAAAAATAATAAGAATAGTTGTATCCAATATTCAATTAGGAACACCATTCCATATTATTATAGTTTAGCTTTACAAAATACAATATTCGTCATATATTGTCATAAATTGCAATAATGTGGGCTGCATTTATTGGTTGCAAAATACAAACTTAAAGCTAAAAAGAAATAGGAGACTGGTTCGTGGTATTTATTTTGCAAGGTAAAAGAAAAGGGGTGTAATAAACAATGGCAACAATACTGCATTATCCTGCCTGTATTAATACTACTAGTGCTATATGTAGAAAAATGTCGAGATATGCAATGTAACCACTTTGTGATTACATTGGATTGGCTATAATGGCTGTCAGAATAAATTTATATACCTATTCTACTGAAAAATTCCAGAGAATATCATGTTTTGTCTTGTATCAGTTTTATAAGACTTGTAAAGGTTAAAGCAAAGCATATGCACTGCACAATGTCTGTTTGGCTTGTTTTTATGCTATTGTTTCTTCCCTTCCTCATCTACATACCACAGCCAGGGAACCACAAATTCCATAACCTTGACCCTGAAAGTGATGCACTTTACTTGTAAAAGCCAAGTTGGAGCAGGACAAGGTAACAGATGTTAGTTGTTTATTCCATCGGGTAGGACTTACCACCTTACACTGCAGCCAAAATGCTTCTCATTTAGCAACATAAATGTTAATTCTAATTAGCAGATGAGGCTTGTTAGATATTTAGTTCAAATGAATAGCATGCACACAAACTCAGGCTTATTGAATTTGATTGACAATGGACAAGAATAGTTTATTTCACAGAAACAGCGTATCAGAATGGATTAGAAAATGAAATGTGTAATATTTGCTTTAATTTTAGAATAGTTACAACAATATTTTACTAGTTTGTACTCAGCAGAAAGCCACCAAGATTTTAATGATACACCGGTGAAAGAGTCCAAGAAGCCGACAATAATATTATTTTAAAGATGCTTATAATGTATAATTTGACATCAACAATTAGACAAAATGATAGCACACTCAGAGGAGTTAAAAAAAATCCTTCTGAAAATTCCCAATTAGATATTGCAAAAGCACAAACTAGGCAGAGAACTATAGGTTCAAGTATACTTAATGGTGAAATAAGGAGATGAAAATCTCCTGAAAAGTAATATTTGCCCAGGGTTTTACTCCATTTATTAGATTTGTTGTTTGACTCTTAGTAGTTTTCATCAATTACAGATAGTTCTTGACTTATGACTAATTATTTAGTAACAAAAGCTACTTATGACCAAGTTTTGAAGTTCCGAGATCAGGGGCTCTCCACAGTCATGTGACCACATTTTGGGCACTTGGCAACTGGCCTATGTTTATGGCTATTTGCAGTAACCCATGGTCATGTGGTTATAATTTATGATGATTTTACCAGAAACTGATGCTTACTTCTGGTCTACCAAAAACTGACCAATAGTGAACACTGGGTTTGCTTAACAACCAATGCAAAAAGGTCATAAAATCAATTGTAGTTATAAGCACTGTCATGACTTACAACCACAGTTGCCAGGCTCAATTATGATCATAACTCAAGGACTACCTGCACTTCATCATTCTTGTGATTTTAAAAAATTACACACTGATTTTATTGGACTAGTTTATCACAGGTCAGGTGGTACACATGCATTCAACTTCTTAACAAAGACATTCTGAATTCAAGCAGAATAACGTACTAAACCAAGCATTTATATTAAAAGCTGAACAACTAATATGTTTTATTCAAAGTGGAAAATGTTACAATGTTGGACTATTTGCATAACATGTGATCAGTCCAAAGTATAGACTATATACTTATTTCTATCCATTAATACTTTATGTAGCATCATATGTATTGATTTGCATGAGAAGACTTATTCAGTGGTCGCTTTAAACTATTTATAGGGGGAAAAACAATTTTATAAACATGATTCTATGTAACTTTAACATTTACAATAAAATTATATTTAGATAATACATGACATTTGAGAATCAGTTAGATGTAATGATTAAGGCATTAGTTCTAGAAACTGGGAGACCATGGATTCTAGTCCAATCTTGGCCATGAAATCAGCTGGGTGACTCTGGGCAACTCACCTAGGCAGTTTTCTCAGCCTTAGGAAGGAGGTAAGGGCAAACCACGTCTGAAAATCCTTGCCAAGAAAACTGCAGGGACTTCTCCTGGCAGTCTCTGAAAATCAGACATGATTGAATGAAAGAAAAACATGAAATTTAACTTTGCTAGTGGGTCTACTGCATATAAAATTCCAATGATGATTCACATGGACTCATGAATTCATATGATTCATATTTATTCATATGGATCCACTCATAATTCATACAGGTGCATGCACATTCAGCGCATACATCTTCAGTGAAGACCTAGGTCAATTGAAACCAATGGAAACATAACAAATTCACGATTTTCTTACATTGTTATGTAAACATGCCTACTAGCTAAAAAGACATGAAAGAAAATTCTGCAACCTGCCATTTTCATAGGATTCTTTTTAAGGCCAAAGGTGCTATTTGATTAAACATTTCCAGTGAAGTTTGGAATAAAAATATTTGGACAGCAGCACAATCTACTTAAAAGGTATATATTAGAACTAACATTATCTTTACTGGAAATAACGTTTGGTAAAATAATTTATTTGGATTAAATAGTGAGACTATTAAAGATAATGGCATTTGGTAGTAGGGCTATTGAACAGGCATTGCTGTATAAAGTATTTTGGTTTTAAACATATTCTTATTCAATAAAAGGTTTTGCCCTGATTTAAATTCTAATACTTTAATTATGGTTCTTCTATTGCTTCTGGACATGCAAAGAGCATAAACAGGTAATTATAATCTTCTGAGAATCAGTATTAAAATATATCAACAGAAAAGGAATTGGCATTTTCTACACCTACAGCTGCTGTTCTATCTTGCTGCTAGTCATCTAGAGAGGTTTTGGAATAATGCATGCTGTTTACACTAAATTCAGTCAGCCTGCTCATACATCTGCTAGCTCTTCTATTATCTACTGAATTCATCAAGAATTGTATATTGACTAAACAGAACTCCTACTATGTTTCCACAATATTGTTGAATTACAATATCTGTCACAGTCTGTTAACTTTTTTCCAAAGATATATATGACTGTGAAACATATATTTTATTTTTGGTTTAAGTTTGAGTATACTTTTTTGGGGGGAAAAGTATTCATTTACAGATTAGGATTTAATTAGAATAAAATGTATTTGATATATGGAGTTTCTTGTATTATATCTCTGAGTAAACCAAACATCTAGGCTTGCGGAGTTGAAAGGGATTGGTCTCTATCATCTGTTTTGTAGAAAATGTCCATAATTATGCTTAAACTTAGACATTGTTTGAACTTGCCCTATATTTCTATTATAGAGATAAGAAAAATGGATTCATGTTGTGTCGGATTGAATAAACGATCCCACAACTTCAGAGATTTTTGGTAAGTGAAGCTAACATTTGTTTTCATAGTACTTCCAGAGAGGTGACATTTCTGGTTCATGTAAGACCATTAAATAATTTTGTTGGCTAAAATCTATAATTGTAAAATAATACATTATTATTTGTGATACAATTATAATAATTATTATGGTTTGTTGCATAGTCAGCCAGTTTAGATTAGATTAGTCATTTTTATCCACCTAGTGAGTTTTTTTCAAGGATCTGAGATAGGCATGTGTTGTTGTGTGTTGGTGTTTAAGGTATCATTACAGGATGTAAACTACTCCTAGTAAAGCTGCCATTTTGCAATTGACTGAAGGTGATTTTGTTAACATGCATTGTTTTTCATTGCACAATAAGCCAGATCTTCAGATTGGATCTGGCATTTTTAACCACCAATCAAATCTTTCCCAAGAACCTGGGACAGGCAGATGTTGATGTTTAATGGTGTTAGAGGTATTATCATAGGATGTAAGCTGTTCCAAATAAAGTTGCCCTTTGCAATTGACTGATGGTGAATTTGTCAATGCCAATTGTGTTCAAGTAGTGCTCCAGTTGTTTTGGGATTGTACCTGAGGTGCCTATTATTGTTGCTATTACCTTTGCTTTCTTTTGCCACATTCAGTTTATTTCTATTTGCAGGTCTTTCTATTTTGTTATCTCCTCCAGTTCTTCCTTTTCTATTCTGCTGCCTCCAGGCACTGCCACGTTCACTATCCAGACTTTTTAAAATCTTTTTTATCAACAATCGTTAAGTCTGGGGTATTATGTGCCTGTGGGTTTGAATTCCAGAGCACTTTAGCATCTTCATTATTTATGATTTTCTCTATTTTATGGTCCCACCAGTTCTTGCAAATCTTCCAAAGCACCATTGTTGTTACTTTGTCATGCCATTATTTGTAGACAGACTGTGCAATCCTCTTGCAGCACCTAACAAGGTGGTCCACTGTTTCAGCTTCTTTGCAGAGGCAGCACTTGCTTCTGTTGCTGTCTTAATTCTAGCTTTGTATATGAATTTGTTCTTAAGCTTTGGTCTTATGCAGCCAGAATTAGCCCCCCTCTCTCTTTTTTCAGCCTTCCTGCTCTTAGTCATTGCCAGATCTTGTTATTATCTGTTTTCCCTGTTATTGTTTTAATGTATTGGTCATGCAATACTTGGTCTTCCCATATCTTTTTTCTGTTCTCCATTTGGTCTTTCTTGTAGGCCAGTTTGGTCTCTCCAATACGCAGTAAGCCTTCCTGTTATACAAACTTCAGTGCATCTTCTTTACTGTCCTTCCATGTCCTTTTTTCTTCTTCGACCATCTGATGTACTTGCAACAGTCCATGCCCACCTATTTTCCTTGCTAAGTGAAGTCTGTCAAGATTGCTGAAAGGATAAAGGGCATGATTTATTGTCATTATTTTTCTGATTTTCCTATCCAGGGTTTTTAGTTCTGCTTGAGTCTAGTTGTATATCCAATGGCTGGAATTGCCCAGGTGTTAATTGCTTTTATGGTATTTTCTC